TATCACGCCTTTTTGTAGTATTACGCATTGTATAAACAATATGTACAAGGTGTTATTTCGAGGTATAATACTACCACTTTGTTTTTTTCGAGGTAACAACATAATACATATATACTACTATGCGTGTACTTGGCGCATTTTTTTACCTTTTTTTTTGAAAAAGGTAATTTTGTACGGATATCACGCCTTTTTGTAGTGTCATATAAGACGTCGGCGTTAGAAGTAGATAGAAGAAGAAGTATCTTAATAAAAAATTTTCACATTTGGACTTTGCGTCGCAATATCTCCGCTCGTAGGGCACGGAGCGGGATATTATAAGAGAAACCCCCCCCCCTAATTGGACCCCAAGCTATCGATCAAGCCTACTTAGAACTTGATCCGTTCACTCGTTATTGAGATCTCAACATCTCGGGTACTCGCAACCCGTCGCGTCGCGTAAAAGAGTCACGGTCGGTCTCGCTCCGCATGTACTTGGCGCGAGACACTACCGTGTCTCTTGATTCTGCCGCTAGGGAATTTTTAAGTCAATTCTTATGAATCAAGCTTGAATTCGATGTCTAGGTGTCCCAGGTTGCCGATGACGAGGTTCACATAGTGCGCTTCATAGTTTTCGGTATCCAGGTGTATTAATACCTTGAATTCGATGTCTACGTGTTCCAGGTTGCTGATGTCGGGTTCCAGATAATGCGCTCTATAGTTTTCGGTGTCCAGGTATAATAATACGTTGAATTCGATGTCTAGGTGTCCCACGTTTCCGATGACGAGGTCCACATAGTGCGCTCCGTAGTTTTCGGTGTCTACGTGTATTAATACCTCGAATTCGATACCTACGTGTCCTACATTCAGATTTAAAGTTATTAATACACCTAGACACCAAAAACTACAAAGCGTACTATGTGGACCTCGTCATCGGCAACCTGGGACACGTAGACGTCGAATTCGAGGTATTATTACATCTAGACACCGAAAACTACGGAGCGCGCTATCTGGACCTCGTCATCAGCAACCTGAGATACCTAGACATCAATTTCAAGATATTAATACACGTAGACACCGACAACTACGGAGCGCACTATGTGGACCTCGTCATCGGCAACCTGGGACACCTAGACATCGAATTCAAGGTATTAATACACGTAGACACCGAAAACTACGGAGCTCACTATCTAGACATTGTCATCGGCAACCTGGGACACCTAGACATTGCATTCAACGTATTATTACACCTGGACACCGAAAACTACGAAGCGCACTATGTGGACCTCGTCATCGCCAACCTGGGACACCTAGACATCGAATTCAACGTACGATTGCACCTGGACACCGAAAACTATAAAGCGCACTATCTGGATCCCGTCAACAGCAACCTGGGACACGTGGACATCAAATTCAAGGTATTAATACACGTAGACACCAAAAACTACGGAGCGCACTATGTGGACCTCGTCATCGGCAACCTGGGACACGTAGACATCGAATTCAACGTACGATTACACATGGACACCGAAAACTACGGAGCACACTATGTGGACCTCGTCATCTGCAACCTGGGACACGTAGACATCGAATTCAACGTATTATTACACCTGGACACCGAAAACTATGAAGCGCACTAGCTGGACCTCGTCATCGGCAACAGGGATACCTAGACATCGAATTCAAGCTTGATTCATAAGAATCGACTTAAAAATTCCCTAGCGGCACTTTCTGCCAAGCGTAGAGAACCTTCTTTTCTGTTGACTTAGGGCCAATTTCACCAACCACAGTTAGCTTAACCGATGGTTAAAGTTAACAGAATTGACCAATAGAAATGAATCCACCCTACTTTTTATTGGTCAATCCTGCTAACTTTAACCGTCGGTTAAGCTAACTGTGGTTGGTGAAATTGGCCCTTAAGGTGGAAGCACATAAAATTGCAGAAGCCATGAGCAGAATGCAGAAGCCATATGCGCATGCGCTGTGATATCTGTAGAGCTCTACAAATACCATAGCGCATGCGCATATGGCTTCTGCATTCTGCTCAAGGCTCCTGCAATTTTATGTGCTTCCACCTTTAAGGCGCGGGTCCAATGGAGATCCGTAAACCTAACCCTAACCGTAAGACCGTAACCGTAAAAGTTGGTTAATTTGAACTTTTACGACCGCGGTTATGGTAACGAAGAGAGGTTAGATTCAGAGTTGCATTCAGAACGGGTGTGAGGTTATATGTTTATAATTGTTGAGAAATGTGTTCTAATAGCAAATTAAGATATTTATTTATGTTATGTCTATTGTATATTATAACAGAGACTTTTAATGTAGCTGTTATCCAAAGTTTATTAATAAAGATACAATGTGAAATACATAATAAGATTGTTATTTAATGAATCATTTAAAATAAAAAAATAATAAACATTCTGCAAAATATATGTCGTTCTGAATAGTTAATATTTTCGCGAGTTGTACAATTAAAATGATCCTCTCGTAATATAATGCTTCTTGCCACGAAACTGCGCCTTCTGGAGTACTCGGCAAGCGTGTCACGTAAGGTAACATTCTTGCGTGTAGCATTATTAGCTCCCATTTTTCTCATGTTCCTAAAGATGATATTCTCTTCGCATTGTCTCCACTGTCCAGATATGACATTCCCATTGTCGTCCCATGTATCAGCGTAATTTGGAGGACAGTACGTAGCATTTTCTGATTTTGAGATTAATTCTGACATCCGGAGGAAGTTATGAAGGCACAATCCTGCACACACAATCCATTCTGCAGTATCAACATGTGCAATAATTGTTGATCGGAAGATTCGCCAACGACTGGCCAAAATGCCAAAAGAGTTTTCGATAACACGACGTGCTCGAGAAAGAAGGTAATTGAAAGTTTTATGTGTCTTGTCCAATTTAGTTCCAGGATATGGTCGCATAATATAGCTTTTCAAAGGAAACGCTTCATCTGCAACCATATAATATGGAAACTTTGTGTCGGTTTCTGGTAAGCTGCTAGCTATCGTCAGGTATTTCCAGTTTGTTGTCATCAAGACCTATTCCAAAAGCTGATTCTTTAAAGACTCCTCCGTCACTTTGTGAACCATCAAAAGCACCAACATCAACAAGAGTAAAAATGAGTTAGCATCACAAACTGCCATTAACACAATGCTGAATGTTTTTTTTATAATTGAAGAAACTGATCCCAGTATTGTAAGGAGCTTGTACAACGATGTGCTTTCCATCAATTGCCCCGAAACAATTCGGCATATTCCGCAACTCTTGGAAATCTCGTGAGTACCTTCTGAAATCGTCAGCAGTAGGTCTTGGCAAACATATAGGCGATAACTTGTCCCATATAATCTTGCAAGTGTCACGGATAACTTTGCTCACAGTTGATTTTGACACATAAAAGTTCCATGCAACAGTTTGCATACTGCAACCATGAGCAAGATAACTATAAAATAAAATATTCGTGTTATAATAGTTTAAAAAACACAACAAATTATTGAAAGTATTACAAAATATACTTACTACAAAGTAATACATAATCAATGTTCCGGCGACAGAGGCTCTCGAATACTTCTTTTTATCAGAGACTCTTGCACTAATTCTGATAGTCTTTCGAATTGTGAAACAGTCATTCTAGTAAACTTGAAAAACTGTTTATCGTCATTGTTTTTCATAAACTGAAAGAGAGTATGAAAATGGCTTTTTTGCTTCCGCTGTAATAACATTGGCCGAACCCAATATTTTCGTTTAATCTTTTTCTTCTTTTTCCGCAATAACTGCAGAATTATCGCAATTAAGTTAATAGCCACAAGAACTGTTTTTCTAACATGGTAAATTATCCATTATAGCGAAATTTTTGCACTTTGTAACAGTTAACACAGAGGTTAGAATCGACGCAAACACGAATTTGCGTTATGGATTTACGGTTCTTTTGTTTCGTTACGATTATGGGCTGTCATTGTAGACGATAGGAGGCGATTTCTTACGGTTACGGTCTTACGGTTAGGGTTAGGTTTACGGATCTTCATTGGACCCGCGCCTTTAATATATATTATATCAAGCTTGATTCATAAGAATCGACTTAAAAATTCCCTAGCGGCACTTTCTGCCAAGCGTTGAGAACCTTCTTTTCCGTTGACTCAATATATATTATATATTACCTAATTTACCTAAATAGAAATCTTCCTCCTGACCGATAAGTCTATCGACCTAATTTCGAAATACGCGCGCGATATCGAAACTGGCGATACCTGCGCCGCCAGCGTCGAAAAAGTGAAAGGGACGTTTCTCTGATAATCATAATAATATTGAGACGTCGGCGTTAGGAGGAGGAGGAGGAGGAGGAGTATCTTAAAAATAAATTTTCCCATTTGGACTTTGCGTCGCAATATCTCCGCTCGTAGGGCACGTAGCGGAATATTATGAGAGAAACCCCCCCCTAATTGGACCCCAAACTATCGATCAAGCCTACTTAGAACTTGATCCGTTCACTCGTTATCGAGATCTCAACATCTCGGGTACTCGCAACCCGTCGCGTCGCGTAAAAAAGTCACGGTCGGTCTCGCTCCGCGTGTACTTGGCGCGAGACACTACCGTGTCTCTTGATATCTGTGCAATACGTATGATTGTGTGATACCTTAATAACGTCTTAATGACGTCAATAAAATGTCATTAAAATGTCATTTGACATTATTTTGCTACTTAAAGTATTATATTTCAACAATATGTTGCAGCAATATTACTGTAATATTTCAATATTATTTAAAAACGTGTAATACATCAGTAATATTTCTGAAATATTTTATTGTAATACGTAATATTTCCACTATATTGCAATATTACTGCAATATTATGTGCTGTGTGGGATAATAATATAATAATATAATAATATAATAATATAATAATATAATAATTAATAATATAATAATATAATAATAAAGGGTGACGGGGCTGGTCTAGTGGGTAGAGCGCCAGATTTGTAATCCGTAGAATCGGGTTCGAATCCCGCTAGGTCACTGAAAATTTCTCAGTAAAAACGTTGTCCCCCCATCTAGCGGAGAGAGTTATCCCTAGATGGAAAACTGGGCTCCGTCTTTCAGAAGAGACGTTAAACCGTTGGTCCAAAGGAAATGGTAATAGTGGGGAAAGAATTGGATAGAGTTGGGTACGTCGCTTAAAAAACGCCTCTTCCTCCTTGAATTGGATAGAATTGGATAGGGGGTAATTCTACAGAATAGGGCCTTTTCCGAATTTTGATATTTTCTTG